AGTAGGGAATTTTGTTTTGGAAACTTGAAATGTCATGTAAAGCACATGCAAAAAAGCAGGAGCAATGTACCCGTTTTTTTTTTTGGATTAAATTAGCCTTAGGAAATATTTGTCTTTACCGGACATTGATATTTTTATTGATTTTTTTTTAATCATGATTAACATAGTTGATTTAATTAATACAACTCAAGCTATTTAAAGCCATTTTCATCGGAGCAACGCCAGATACTCTGTTAGTATTATTATAAAATTATAGCAGATTAGTACTACTGGACCACTGGGGGTGATTAGGAAACGTATCTACTGAAGTTGTCATCCCAGCTTCTAATATGAAAAGTATCATAAAACCAATTATATTAAGGTTTAAAACTACGGCTGTTAAACGAACCAAAAACTACATGTTCCTATTAAATTTCAAAAATGTTCCTTTCTTTCAAGTATTAACGCAAAGCTACACGTGTTGTCTGTGCTGGTAATCACTATTTTAAACTGAGTAGCAGCCATTGTCATTTCTTGGGCCTCTCTAATCGAATATTGGAGCTCGACTGTTGTTCTTTTAACTCACCCACGATAGCAATAACCATATACCCTGAATATATTGCTGCTAAAATACGTGCTAAGTGTTTGTTTGTAGTTAAGCACAAAGCTACACAATTGGGCATCTGTGCTCTGTCCCCCAGGGGTATCGAAACCCGTTTCTAGCATTGTAAGCCCGCAAACATACCGCTGTGCCACTGGGAGGTACGTGCTAACTGAGATAAATGACTTTAAAGGCTTACGTAGTTTAACTAATATGCATGTGGGAGTTATAAAGAATAACTTGAAAGTTTGTTTACGCCAAAACAGGCACATTGTAATTGTAATATTTTAAAAAGTTCTGTTTTCATACTATAATGATATAGAACATTGTCTGCAAAGTTTCTCTAATATTATTATTTGAAATTGCCGAACAGTCCATCACATCTACAATTAAATATTATAGAAATCTAAGAAACTTGAGAATTATCACTTTCTTGGATAACGACCTAATGGCTGGCTTTGTTTTTATTTGCTGTCTAAATAATCACATACAAATTATACAAATATACACACAATGCACAGTTTAATTTCAAAGAATTAGAATTTTCATAGGTTATATATATATATATATATATTATTTTTATCCTTAAACTTTACGGAAGCATATTCCTCAAAAGTTACGCTTTCAACAACACAGTGTCTTTTGTAATAATAAAGTGCAAGCCTATGTTCAGAGCACCTGGTTAATTCACGAAAACATGTATTTGTTATTGTAACATTAAGAAAAACAATGAATACATTTGAATATTAAATATAAGGGAATTCAGACAACAGGATAAGAATAAAATAAAGATAAATAACCCAAAAAATATATGAATGTTTTGCTTATCTGTATAAGGTATTAGCTTGGAATAATCATAAATATTTTAGAAGATATTTAATTAAAGATTTATACAGGTCCTACTCTATATAATATAGACTGTCTAATGTAGATGTTAATAGCCATAATAACCATACAGAATTTCTTTCTATGAGTCTTCTTTGGATTCTCAGTCGTTATAAACTCATTTTATGGTAATAGAAGCACATAAACATTCTCATTCTATCTTCTTCAGGAGTTGTAAAATTATTATTATACTTGATGGAAAGAAATACGAAGCTAAGTAATAATAATAAAACATTTAATTTAGGGAAAACAGATTGAAAGGGTTAAACTGTGTTTCACTAAGTTTACCTATATATATATGTGCAAAATGAAACAATGTAGTGATATACATGTTTATTAGAAACTTATTTAAGCGTTTAACCTGATAGTAACATGATAATCATTAATCACATACCACATGTTCTTGGATTCGGTTTTGTTGCGAGCGACTTTTGAATTCAAATTATTGCCATTGAAATACTATACAGTCAGGCAGTAATCTTTAATGATAGGATGGTCTGATAATGGGCGTTAGTTAAATGAAATGTCGGAAAACGTTAACAATTCAGATGACATTTAGTTATGCAATTATATAAGATGTAGTAAAAGGGTATCCTACTTAAAGTGTATATCATGAAACGAGCGTATTCCATAGCTTGTTCATAGATGGATGAAAAATGTCACAACCGATTTACACTCTATTGACTGTTGGTGTCTTGTCATCAGACGATTTACTTGTCTAAAGCAAACTTTGAGTAGATAAAACAGACGGTAACAAAATAAAATAAATAATTAAAAAGGGAAAGATGAAAAGTGCTTACTTTTTCTCAAAGGTCCTTTCCTGTATTTTTCTAACCTCTTAACAGCTATGGCCTCCAGTCGGATTCTGGCCGCCGGGTAATCTTTCAACACATCCCACATATCTTTTTTATATAAACAGAAAAGATCCGAATAACCAACGGAACGTACTGAAGCCGTTCGGCGGTTTCCGGCTGTGCCCATATTTAATATGCTGATTTCACCAAAGTAACTTCCTGCTCTGAGTGAAGCTAGAACGGTTTTTCCACTGTCCGTGACCACTTGAAGACGGCCGCGATTCACTATGTACATTTCCTTTCCCACTTCTCCTATTTTATTTTAGAAAAATTAAAAGAATGATAAAACCAATAAATGGTATTAGTGAATTTTAATTACACCATATGTGAATTCATACTAACATAAACGGTTTCTGTCTAATTTACAAACCAGAAAAGAATTGACGAAAAAACAACATGAAATATCTGTAAAACAAGATATATATACAAGACGTCATACTTTGTTTAAAACGGATGGGATACGACTTATTGCAGGCGTCATTCTAAATGGTCTTGTTGTCCCAAGTTGATTCGTATTCCTTTTTTACCAATGTCTTTATGTTCAACGGATATTCCCGTCTTTGAACTTTTAAATCCCCGATCTAAACACATCTTTATGATCTGAGTGCATTAAAAATATCTGTATAACTTTAACTTTTATGGTGTATTAAAGAATAACACTACTGCACAATAGTTTCCAGTATAGTTAGAAAAAAGCAAAAGGAGATAGCTAATGATAAATTAATTATTCTTCGAATTTTTTATAAGGAAGGACAATCATTTATTGAAGTAGGAAAGTCTAAAAATAATTATATTGTTATCGTTCAGTAGCTAATTTTGTTTGTATTTAGAATATTGTGAACTAGCTTTTACAAGTTTTTTGTAATTTGAAGCAATTCCGAAGCGTCCGTAATTAAAGATTTATTTTTTGGTATTACATGTTTTTAATATTTACTATTAAACTTCCTTTTCCACCAGATGAATCAGTCATAAGATTATGTTTGAATTATTTAAAGTCCTTTTTTTATGTCTTCTTACTTTCCAATACACAGTAAATGGGTTGATCTTATTATGTAATTAAACCACTACCAATGTATAACGTACGTATTGTATTTAGTCATAAAACTGAGTCACTTCTAAAACTACACTAATATCAGTACTAAATCTTAGAATAGAAATTAGTTATCGATATATAAGTATCAAGTTTATATTACTTAGTTACACAATTATGTATTTCTTCACCTTTTGACATGTAAATTGTAAAACTTTGTTTGCAAATAGTGTATATTTGCTCAGGAATGGGATTGTATAATGCCATGAGATAAGCGAACAGGACTTTTATATTTAAAAGAAAAAACCTACCATTCAAAATATTCCTAAAGCAAACAAGCAGAACAAAACTGTATTTAGAAGAAATTCGCCTGAGATGTTTGTGGAATAAATTATAAAAGAAAGAGTTCTTAAACACTCTGTCTACGTAATAAAGACAAGGACAACAGCTTTTCTAACGTCGAGTATTCTTGTACCTTTTCGACAAATGTAGTCCCCTGGGCTAAAGAGAACGGGTCTCAACCTTAACACCAGCTCACAGAGAAAACCTGCTTCTGTATTCTGAAAGATCTCTACCCGTTTCAGAGTGTCCAAGTGTACGTGGATGGCAATTTCGGCTTTAAGTTTGTCTGGAAGGAAGCCAACAGACCTTTCTTCATCAGATGATTTCTGGGTCATCCACAAGTAATCAAACCATTTGATGACTTTGTTTTGAAGATGATCGGGTACTCTGCGCATGCGCATGTAGGTTTTGACTGCATCCAACTTTGCTGAAAAAACAACAATACGAGTCAGGAAAAGTTCTCTAAACTCAAATTCTCAACATCGAGTACGCAAGAAAGTCATTCAGAAAATGTATTAATGAAAATACACAGTGCAGATCCTTGTGATATACCAGATCTATATTGTATTCATTCTCTCACATGGTAATATAGTCTTTTAACTAGTTTTACGAAACAAGTTATTGGTGTGTTGATTCAGTGCTGAACAGTCAGGTGTTTTTATACAAGAATTAAAATAGACAATTAATAAACTATTGAAACAATAAAAAGTATTGTGCAAGTCTCTATATTATAAGATGATTAAGTAGATGTCAGTAGGAGTTTTGGCCATGCGGAAAAAAGTCTGAAGAACCTAAATTTTAAGGATCTATGCTGTTCGTAACTTAAAATATATTTTGATATACAAAAGGAAAAAAAGACACATTCTCACGAACGTTTTTATTTATGAACGCTCAGAGTAAAAACCACGAAATGAAATTGAAACGTGTCCTTAGTGTTGCCATTAATGTTATTTTATAAGTTACATGACAGGAATAAATCTGTCTAAGTTTTTCTTAAACAGTAATTTCGAAAAATGCCATGATAGTCTATACCACATGCTTTGGTACACAATCACAAAATACTAATCTATCCCCTAATATAGCTATGTTTGTTCTTATTCATGAAGACTTATTTTTTAGCTTTATATTTATATAACAAAACACTACAATCCTTAAACTCTTATGAGTTTTATGTTTTCTTGTTCATGATGATTTATTTTTAACTTTATATTTTTATAACAAAACACTACAATCCTTTAACTCTCGTGCTTTTTTCTCTTTTTTATTATTTTCTACCGGTTTCATGAATAAAAAAAATCTTTAAAAGTTTGGGAAACATCCAATAAGTAGGGGCATTGGAAGATGTTAGCGACGTATACATACAATACTTTTTTACTCATTACGTTAATGTTAGATTAAACGTGTCATATTTATTTGTTTATCAAATATTCTGATTCCTGGTTAACCACCAATATTAAAGTGAGGTTATGGTTATTCATGTGCTTACAATATTACCAAGAAGTTAGCTTAGTATATATAAATGGCCTTTATGGGGTTAAACGTTTAAATTGAATAATAAACGAAAACTATGAGTTATATTTTCTAACCCAGTCGTTGCCAAGTATTGAAACATGTCTGAGAAGTACATTACTGCAAGATTTATAAAAAAGAGTGGTTTGACGTTTAGATATATCAAACTTTGTTTTGTCCAACGTAAAAACTAAAGATGCTTTAAACCTGTTTCATTTTTATGATTCAAATATACCTTCCAATCGGCATGAAACTTGACAATGGAACTTAGATAACAATAATGTTCAGTGATTTTTATAGCATTTTGTTAAGTTTCAATATATTCATCAACTTTAGGATGTATTCAGAGAAGCTTCCATTAATAATGTAACAAAGCAGGAAATCCTGGAACGATTAATGAAACCCTGTACAGCTCCAGGTTAGTCAATCAATCTTCAGATTACTGACTTATTTTTATACTTTTCACTACTTAAGGGGGTCAACATATTGAATTATATGTCAGGTGGAATCACCCAATTTCTTTTTTAAGTACATGAGGGATATTAGCAGTAATCAGTGGAATTAACTACATTATTGACGACATTTTTTGTTTATATATATATATTAGTCGAATTAATTACATTATTGACGACATTTTTTGTTTATATATATATATTAGTCGAATTAATTGCATTATTGACGACGATGTAAAATTCCAGCAGCTAAGGAGAATCAGTTCTATCTAAATATCTTCACGTTAGTTAATTTATTTAAACCAAGGATAACCTTGAGTAACTGACGCCCTCTAAATTCCAAGGTAACTTCCGTGAACGAGAGTTTACTTCTTATGAAATTTCGTATTTGTTATAAATAAATATGAATTTTTCTATAAAAAAAATATATATAACTCGTCATTAAATAGTGTATCAGCACAACGGTTTACCAGTGCATGTTTCCAAAGTCCGATCGCATAGATATACATAGGTGCTATATAGTCATGTAGAATAACATCAATATTTGTTTTACTCTCCAGCTTCTTGGGGTATACAAGGGTTAAACGGGAAGTATTACCGGAAGCCTTTTCTCGGCGAGCTCGTACCCTGTTAACCTTGTTTCCAGACGAAGATTTTTCTTTATTACGTTGCGTAATGTTGCCTGGTTCACGTGGACGGCTTTTGCCACTGAATTTTTACTTTCGTATATTCTCACCTGTTACAAGACGTCATACTTTGTTTATAACGGCTGGGATACGACTTATTGCAGGCGTCATTCTAGATGGTCTTGTTGTCCCAAGTTGATTCATATTCCTTTTTTACCAATGTCTTTATGTTCAACGGATATTCCCGTCTTTGAACTTCTAAATCCCCGATCTAAACACATCTTTATGATCTTGGCTATTCAACCCAATGATACACAAGTTGACGTTTCAGGTAGAAAAGTGCATCTTCTAAATTACATAGTATTAATTATATGTTCCATATTTTCGAATTGATACAATGATACGAATACTTTTCTAGTACAATAATTATAATGAACACAATAACGTAAAAGTGGCTTTAAGTACAATTTATTCGTATATGCAAAAACAGTAAAGATATGTTCTTTAAAATTGCATTTTAGCACACAGCTTTGTCTTTTCTAATGATATTTTACTAAAGTTATTTCTTTCTATTATAATAGACTTGTAACTACAATATATTTTAGTAACACCGTTTGTTCACTAAGTAAAGATAGTGAATTAGTTTTATTGACGACAGTATATCGCAACTTATAGCTCATAGGACACGAGAAATCTCAACTGGAATTCGGTCAGAGATAGTGTCAGAATAATTCAATTTGTCCGAAAGAATCAGATTTGACAAAAATGTATATACATACACAGTGTGTGTAATTCGGTAGACAATGAGAGATTCTGTTCATTCTTCCGTCTGTGCCTCGTCAGTTTTTCTCGAGCAAGATTATAAGTTAAGACATTGACGTACAGGACATAAAAAAAGACTCCTCAGGTATTTTAGGAGATTTAGATCACGTTTTGTTGCTATCTAATCTGATATTTCAAAGTTTTCTTTTCAAGGTAGTTTATTACGATTCTGGTAGTATGACACTAGACATTATCCTGCAGTATACCAAATCTGGCCGTATTACTCCCGCGAAAGGTCTTACAAACAGGGTTCTGTATCACATCAACATGTCTCAAAGTAATAAATCCGATTTTGATGCCTCTACACATAACAACAAAAACCACATCCGAAACTATCATATTAACGACGATGTACTGATCCCATCGTTCAACTCTCGATTTCCGTGTTCGAATTGTCGACCAATGATAGGTGCATGAAACTATGAATGCTTATCGATTCCTAACGGGAATATTGTACAAACGGATGTTATTTCATGGTGTAGTTAACCTTCCATGAGTCTCCCAGTGCCACACACTGTGCACTCATTGTCTAATATTTTCGTATTATCGACTGTGTTGCAACAAAATGAGCACCCACTTGTTTATGTATCTGATCGGTGTTGTACTTCTGAAAAGTTCTGGCATTATATTTCTGAAAAACTCCCTACTGGCTAACAGATGTAAACGTTTTGCACTACTACACGGAAATTAACCAAAACGGAAGTAATCAGCACAATGTCATATCAGTAAATGACTGAATATAAAGACAGAAAGGGGGCACTGCCTTTCGAAGACAGGTATGTATTTTTAACAGGAATTGCAAACCAGGAACATAATTACTGACACAATCATTTTATCAACTGCATACAGGTCTACTTCGATAGATCCTATTAAATGATCCTAGTGACATTTGTGGTGTAGTACAAATTATCCAAACAAAGTAAGTCCAGGTTTCTTTTAAAAATCACTAGAATGTGGAGCAGTTAAAGATGGAATTACCTCGACAACTCTGATAAACTATATAGATGAGGTGTTATTTAAAATTAGCAAATATGCTTTTTATCGTGTAAAACAGTCTGAGGATTGCAGATGTATTTTCTGTACATGAAAAGTCTATATATATAGATGATGTCAGGAAAACACGTAGGTTCAATAAGTTTGAATACAAGTTGATTGATAAAAACCCTATAACCCAAGAACTTTCGAAAGGTAGAATATTCGAAAGCACTCGGGCTATAAGGTTTTTATGATTTTGTAATTAGATTATATATATATAGAATATTCAGATATTACAGCTTCAGATGTGCATTGAACATGTAGAAAATATTACTAACGTTCAGTTATATAATACATATGAATAGAAAAACGTAAGGGGTATTTAAGCAAACGAAAAATTACGGATATGTACATAATATATTAAATATAAACGAGAATTTAAACATTACAAAACATCCAACCATATAAGGAAAGTATAACGTATATCATGGGCTAGTTAAATGTCACAAAATACTCAGATGTGAATGGAACATGAATATAACATAAAGATATATTTATGCTTTAAAAGATCTGCAGACTTGTGCGATATAGAAAATATCAAAGGTTATGTTAAGTATTAAAGTCTCGACTCTTGTTGACACACTCTTGTCATGTTCGTTGATACTCGCTAGGTGTTTATAATTACCGTGTTGTAAATCTACTTTAGGTCTTGAATAGTTAATAAACTGACGTAACTCAAAGAACTACATGTTTATAAGAAGACGTTTCTACATTTTTTTTCAATCCTCTCTTACCATATAAAACAAATTTCTGCGTGGGTAGGTTTCCAGGATGTTGAATTTCCTAAGGTGTTCGTCATGGGGAATGTAATAGGCTTTACTATAATATCCGTGCTTACTTCTCTGTCTTAACCAGTCATACCGTTACTGCTTTTAAAGGTTAAAAAGAGAGTTGACTTCTACCTGAAATAGCCTTTATATCTTGACAGTTGTCGTGAAATTTTGATTTTTAAATCATTAAATGTCCATAAAAGTTGTTTACTG